GTAGACTGTCTGTGACTGAGGTCAGTCTAGCCAGTCTCCAAGAGCATCCCACTTACTGCTTTTACAATATCAGAATAACTCTTCAGCCTTAGTCATTTCCAAATATTTCTTTATATTTTATTTGCAAATGAGAGACATAAGTCTACCATGAGAACAGACCTTTTTACAACAGTTACTATGTTTCTGTCCTTCTTATTGCCTCTCAATGTCATCCACTGTTTGGTCTCCTAGGTTGGTTTATCCTGTGTTAGAACTACCTAACATGACATTTGAGTGACACCAACTTCCACAGTAGCCAGGTACCTTCCGTGGATGGGGGATGGGACCTGTTTTCGTATCAGAGGTTTGCTGGGATGTTGTTTTGAGCCTCGTGAACATGCTGCTTTGCTGGGAGGAGTACAAGAAGGGGTTAGTTCTGGCGAGCAAAGTAGCAGTTTTGTTCCAGCAGAGTAGAGCCCATCCCGGTGTCAGCCTCCAGCACAGCTCGGGAGCTTTAGGGCATGTCCAACCCCACCCATTGCCACACCAGAAAGCAGGGCAGAGGTGCCAGCAGCACTGTGGTGTAACTCCTATTTCCTTACTAGTTCTCATCATTTTTGCTCCCTCATTCACCTGAAACTCTGGGTACCTTTTGTCACCTGATGCAGACGCAGTACTTTTAATGAGAATTTTAATGTGTCAGGTTTATTCTTTGCTGCTCCTTATAAATTTCCTTCTGCTGGCATACAAATCTTGATCCTTCTGTGAAATTTTTCGGCGCACGTTGTGTTGTGTTTTTCTCCTCAGACACATTATCTTGACATGGGTGTATTTGCTTCTTTAAATGACTTCTTGCCTCACTTTTTTGCCCTTAGTAAACTTCCAAAAAATTTTTTTATAAATCAGATATTTATGGTAAGATGCATATGAAAACACAAGGAAAGAATTATAGTTTTAGGGAGAACATACCCTGATAATGACCTCTTAAATATTTGTAAAGATAGCCCTGGGCATCTGAGCCCACAAAATAGTTTATAATACAACAGCTTGATTACATAATGATACTTTAGTTTTAAAACGTATGATCTTTCTGTTTATGGGAAGGCATAATAGGCTCCTTTGAAATACAATAGTTTTGCCCTGAACATAACTGATTTTAAATGAAAGGACTAACTAAAGAATGCCTTTCTTCAAGTTTGTACTTCACTTTGTTGTTGAATCCAGCACGATGGTTTCTTTTACAAAACAGGCCTGAGGACCACACCTATTTCAGGATACATTAATTGTGCAAGTTTCATGGATTTCTATGCAGGAAGTTACCTAGTACTGTTTAAAATGGTATGTTTTGATTCCTAAATCTTGTTAAAAAACCAGGGAAATTTCTGTGTACCACCAACCCCTTCTCCCTGCACATAGAAATTTCCTTTTAGACTAAATTTGAAGGTACTGTCAAACATAGACTAGGCAGAGTACAATGTGATTTGGGAGAGGGATTTTTTTCTATGCAACAGAAAAGAATTAGTGTGAACATTTCATTCCAGGCAGTTTATGAATCCCCAGGACTACCTCAGCCCATATCAAAGTCTAATATTTTAAAACATTTATTTGAATAAATATATCACCTAAACTCTCATTTTCTCATTATACATTTTTTAATGTTTCTGTGCAACACCTGGTTCCAGCTCAAACTGCTGCTGGATTTGACACTGACCTGCATTCATCTAACTTCCATTTTGGCTAGAAGTAGGAGGGCAAGAAGTGTTTTAAATGAGCGTTCTTCTAACATCTTCTGTGCAGGTATACACATAAATGTTCTTAAATAAGTGTACTTCTAACATCTTCTGTGCGGTGCAGAGTGACTATAACATTCATTTTTATTCATGAATCTCAACCAAGCCTGAATCCCGTTGACTTTTAACTTTCTCATCAGGATCACCTGTATAATTTTCTTAATGGAAATAGTTAACATTTACTTTAGTTTGGCAGCTGAACTGATGTATTCTTGAGTAAGTCCTTTTCCTACATTTCTTATACCATTACAAAATTTAATGTGAAAATACTGAAGTCATTATCATGCTTTTGGCTATAATTTCTAAATATGGGTCCATCCTGTTCTCAGGTTCCTCATTAAAACAAACAGAAACAGAGTTAGAGATTGGAATATAAAGCAAATAAAATACGTGTTGCCCTTAAGGGCAAAATCCAGTGATTCTACCCTGATAAACCCCACTACAAAACACAAGGTCACCCTATAGTGAACTAAAGTTGACTTTATTACAATGAATATCTTTTTTCCTGAAATGGTCTTTACCACTGAACTTAAACTCCAGCACCAGATAGGAAACTCTGCAAGGCTTTTGTTTCATCTTGTTCCCTAAGTATTTATAGCCTCTCGTGAAGAAACACTGACAGCAGTGCAATGATGTTTTTATTCTTGATAGAGGTGCCCTTAAAAGTGAATTTGCTTTGAAATTTTTTCATAGAATCTGGATATTAGAACTATAAAGATATATTTCTCTCTCTCTCTCTTTCTCTCTCTCTTTTTCTCCTTTGTGCCTAATTGGATTTCCAAAATAAGTTGTTAACAATCCAGCTAAGATAATGCGGTCATGAAAAGGATGTCCAAATCCACCAATTTGCATTGCTTTGGTTTGGCTTAACTTTCAAAGTTCTTGGAGCAGAAAGTTGATGGCACGTGAACACTATAATTGGCTTGATATTCTTGGATTTTTAAAATTCTTTATTTTTTTTCCTCTCTGCCATATTGTATAGTGTCCAAATGAAATGCTAATCAGACCTTATTTCTGGACCAGTAAATTTATAACAATAATAATGTACTTGTATACTCCAGATCATGTTGCAAGATGTAATATCCACCAATTTACAACACAGCTTGTCATTTTCATTTGATCCTGATGATTTATGCAGGTTTCAAATTGATGCTCTTAATGTGAGACTATTTCACCCAGAGTGGCATGGATTGCTTTCACTTCCATATATCCAATAAGATTAAGAACTGAATTGAGTTAGATCCAAAGAAAAGTGAACATTGTGTTTGGGGGCTTGTCTGTTTGTTAGTTTGCTTTAGCTTTCTTTTGTAATTTCTGGTTTAGGCTTCATTTTACATGATGGAATTGTTAATCCCTTACCACAAGAGTCCCACAATCCTATGCTGGGAATTACTCTTTCTCTCTCACTCTCCCCATACTTAACCAGAATGAGACTCTTCAGATTTAGGATAAAATTGCATTACTTAAACATTTAAGTAATTTCCATTTGCTCATGTGTTATATATCTAGCAGATGGATAACTTCCAAGATTTCTTGATTACCAAATCCTTTTTGATTTCTCTTAAATAAACTTTTTCTTTATCCCTCTGTAACCAAAGGCGAGATCTTCCTGAAATGAATCACCACTCTCAGTATTATGTTGCAGGACACCCACGGGTGCAGGGTAGAAAAATGTCTGATAAAACACACAGATAAGCAGTGGAGAATTATTATGAATAACCAGCTAATGGAATTATTATGAATTTCAAAAATAGATTATTTACTGCAAACCAAATCAAGATGTCTCTAGCAAGATAGACTTAATATAAGATCTACTTTGGAGAGAGAGAAAACAAACATGCAAACAAACAAAAGACTTTCTTTGGTTTCAGTCTGCACCAAAAGGAGAAGTAAGTCTTTTAAAATATTTCACGATCAGTTAGAAATACCTTCAAGCAGCTGCATCCCCTGGCTACAGTACTCATCTGCCAAAGCATGATGCAAGTGTCAATAAGGACTTGAACCTCAGCATCTTCTTTAACTGTTATTACAACTGGGCTTCTGGGCTTTTGGATTTGTTTTCTCTCTTCCCTGTAGTTTCAGATTTCCTTTTCCCCCATCCCAAATTGGAAAAACTATTCCCCCCAGATACATTGTCAGGAAATATTTCCTGAAAATTTTTGGGTTTGACAAATTAGCGTTATCCAAGAGAAAGACTTTCTATGAAATTGCTTGCCAAAAGCTAATTAAAACTTGTGTTCCAAGGGATAAGTAGCCTTAAAAAAACCCACCCTGTTTTGTGTAGATTCTCTTGGCTTCTTATGCACTTGCAAGTTTTAAATGTGAAATGACAATGTACAGTTTAGCGGGTTTGATTTTTCAGCATGCAGATTCGGTCATTGTTGCACAACAGCTAATTCTCTAGGAAAAGGAGAGCAGTTCCCATGTGCTTTGAAATGCTACAGCTATGCAACCAGGGCTGGAAGTGCTATTTTAAACACTCGTATCAGCAGAGCTTGCTGTAGGAGATAATATGTCACAAAGGGGAGTATGACATCTAGTTTCACCTAGAAGATAAACCTTGACTAGATATGCAGGGAGAAACAAGACTGTCGGGTTGTCCTTGAAAAGAATGGCCTATATTAATGAAGAAATGTACTCCAGGGCATATGCTATTTGGGATATTTAATTTCATCTTCAAACCTGTCTGTTCCGCTATGAAGAATATAGTAGAGAAAGGGTAGTTGTGTGTAGTCTCACACATGTCATGATTGCAGGGTGGGCACCTCACCGTTTTATTTTCAGAAAGGTCACAGCCTGAGAAATTCATGTCTGAAAAACCCAGAGCCCAGATGGAGAAGGTTCCCCTGCATTATTAGTGCAAACACCCCACGTTTAAGCAGAGTTGGAGTAGCATCATGCTAAACAACCCTTCTCGATGAGCATGAGAGCTAATTACCTCTTCCTTTCCTGTCATACTCAAATCCCCTTGCAGAACCGTACTCTGCTGACAGAATTACAAGATAATTATAGCTAGGTGTTTTGTATTCACTTAAGTTAATCTACCACTTTTATTTTTCATTGTTGTTTTAATCAGTGAGGAGGCACTTCAGTTGTTGTCAGGTGGATTATTTTTCAGTCGTTCGCTACGCTGCTCTTCTTCATACTTCTGAGGGTGCTTCTGGCTTCCTGACAGACATACAAAGAAAAATACTTCTATGATCTAAAAAGAAATATGTGTTTCTCTTTCAGGTCTAGATGTTGATGGAATATACAGAGTTAGCGGCAATCTGGCAACAATACAGAAGTTACGATTTGTTGTCAATCAGGGTAAGTGATTCCTCCACCCTGGTAATGTTTTGTTTAGTACTTAACTGTCTCAGATGACAGTATTTCAGAATCTGCTATACATTAGTGGCATAGAATGATGAGCTGTGTTTTGGAAAAGAGGGGAAAGGGAAGGTAGAAAGATATTGCACAGAGGGAAATGTCAGCTAGGAGAGAGGAAAAGAGCAGAGTAAGCAGAGGCAAATAGTAGTGAAACTGGAGATGAGAAACAAACAACAAACAAATCTAAAAATACAGGAGGAAATGGAGACATGAAATAAGGTGGCAAAAAGCAAAGCATATGTAGAAACCAAAGAATCAAAGTGAGGGGGGAAGAAAAAGATTAAAAGGAAAAATAGCAGATTGTTTGGATGTTGAAAGTTAAACAAAACCAAAAGTAGAACAGTGATCCAAAGGAAACCAGTGAAAGAGAAAAAGGTGCTGAAAAGAACTTAAAAGGAAATACTAAAAGTGGAGTACTGGCTCTGCCAAAGTCAGTGGAAGATTTACCACTGATTTTGAAAAAGCAAAGATTTGACCCAAAAAAAATGAGAGAAGGAAAGATGAATATTTTGGGGACCTGAAAACCAGACTTAGAACCATCCTGCACAGATTCACTGAACATATTTCCACAGATTCCACATATAATGAACATATTTCCACAAATACAAAAGCACATTTTTCACAGATGTGACCTAAACCAAGCTAACATTGGTCAGTAGATACTGTTACAGGTGTGGAAGCTGATATTGGGACCTAATTAGGATAAATGACAAATACATTCATCTCTCCAAATGGTTTACTATTCTTGGCAAAGGCTACCTCTCCCCATATTTAAAAACTTAGCAAGTATCATCAATGATTGTGAACCTCATGATACTACTTCACAAGAAGATAAAATTAAGTTTCTCAGAAATTAGGAAAAATCCCAAATCTTACATTGCATTAAAGTCTTTATACACTTTTGCATTACTCAAGTATAAATGTGAAGCTTCTGCAACATTTTGCCCTACTTTTTATTATCTTTTTTTATGTTACCTGGATACTATTACCAGAAATGCTAAATATTGTGGATTCTATGTGGAGGTGATAGCTGTTGGAGAGCAACTTCCTCAGTTAGCTTTGCACTATAGATAAACTAAGGCTTTTGACTCAAATATTCTCATGAAATTGAGAGATAGGAGAGGTGTAAAAATATTCCCACCTTCAAGTCTCCATTTACATCTCTAGGGAAGGTTTCAGGGGAGCAGTAGGTGTTTGCCACCTCCTCAGCTGCTTCAGATCAATCTTGTCTTTAGCTGAAACTGAAGGATGAACTCTGGTTTATGAGAAATCAGTATTTATGCCAGTAAATTCAGAGAGACTGAATAAATCATCATTTACCAATCAGCCTCACAGTTTTGATTCATTACTTGGGTTCTCCTAAATTTATAGTTGCTGGGTATTTGTGTGTCAATAATGTAGGCTGCCTTGGCTTTCAAATTACCATACACTGTATTTTGTTTGGAGACAGAGAGGCAAAAATGGGATTTTCTATCCTTCTTCACTGCCTAGGATCTTTGCTCAGGAAAAAGCTGTGCCATAAAAATAATGGTCCTGTCTATCATGTCTCATGGCATCCAAAGGTTAACGTACTTGAGGTTAACATTATTGCTCAAGTTTTCACCTAAAACAGATGGGCTGATACAGTAAAGCTAGACAGAAGTCTGAGCTGGCTTTTTGCAGCAGAGAGGTACCAGGCATCTCTTTCTTCTGGTTTATACTACTATGAAAAATGAATATATAAAGGTGAAGTTAATAGTACATTAAGGCCACTCTGGCACCAGCTACTTCAGGCACGTGCAAGCAATCTCCCTACTGAGTGACCAAATGAAATGCAAAGAAAATGAATACCCCTGGAGAACTATGTTATCATCTTATCACTTGTGATAATTACTGTTTCTTATGTTAGTCTTCATTGATACAACTAGGGCATTCATGCATTTTATGTCATGACGGAATGGATTTTCAAGGGGAAGTGATAATATCTATCCAAACTCCCCTTACGCATCCTTTAAAATCCTAGCTATAAAAAATTTCTAGCCAGGTCTGTACTTAGGTTTTCCTCAAGTAAAAGCATGCTAAAGTTCAACTCCTGTAAACCCTAATGCCACTTAGCAGCCCTCAGGGGTGACACCAACACCATGTGAGGGAAATGGGGGAGGTTCACTTTGCAGTCCCCAAATGATAATAATCCAGTAACTTTTGATTAGAACATTTTAAAAAGAACACAGACACAAAGAATGGCTTTAAGATAGCCAGTCACTGTTTGAATTGTTTAAATACACCTTCTCTCTGTGCTTGGCAGGAACCTGCAAGCAGGAATCAACCCTTTGAGTCATAGCTGGAAAACATTGTGGGGAGAGGAGGGAAACAAGAATTACTTATTGTGTGCTTGGGAGGGCAACAGCATTCTCCTCCCAATGTCCCCAGGAGCCTGATGTCTCCTGTAAATTAGGTGCTGAGGACAGCAGCAGTTTCAGACTGTTTCATGAAGTTAAAAACATACTAAGAAAAGTAGAATATACTCCCAAACTGCTTATTCCCCAGTCCCTTGAAGCTCTGCAGTGTGATGATCGTTAATAACTCACTCTCCATTCATCCCTTTCCCTCAGTAATTATTGTGGTCTCCTCGGGCCAATCCCTGTACCTTCATTTTTCAGTAGTTAACAGTAGGAAAGAAGTATTTTTATATATATATAATTTTGCCATAGAGGTTTTTCTTTTTCCTTTTATTTTAGTTAAAGTTTAATTTAATTATAAATGCAAACAAATGTTCTGACAAAGCCTATTGGCATTGCAGAGATTGACTGTGCAGTCAGTTCCTCTACAGACCAAATACTTACTGGGCTCTTTCTTCATGCTTGCTTTGCCATTGTGTTACACCTACATTTATAGGCTATAAATAATATGTATCACATGGAAAATGAAAGATCGTAGAAGACACTCTAGGCTGGCTGCCATATCAAAGTATATTTTATTAGCAAAATCATTAATTAGAATATAGCAAAGCTTTATTTGGCTCCTTTTCCTATACTGTTAATGTCATCTGCAGCATCAAAAATGAAATGAGAGAACTGGTGAATATGAAAGGAAAAGAAACAGTTGACAGCTTTATCATTAAAGAAGAAATAGAAAGAGTAGAAACATAAAAAGACCCTTGAAAGTCTAGATTTTTGGGGATGAGGAGGGATTTACAATAAAAAAAGAAATATTAAAAAAAGCCTGGTATCTTTTTTAGTTCTCTGAATATATTTTGTTTCATTCTCATTTCTTGAGGTAGGCAGCTCCTGAAGAGGGCTTTGACCTTGCCAACATGAGCATCAGCAGAACAAACTACCTTATTTACTTTATCCCTCTCACAGAGTTTTCTTTTTCTATAAAAGTCTATTGATATCACACCTTTTTTGCTTCTGTGCAACAGGATTATCTTTTATCTATGATTTATTTTCCCATTAAGAGCTGAAAAGATCAGTTGATCATAAGAGGACCAGGCTATAACATCCCTCAGCACTTTCGAAACTCTAAGTCATCATTTTTCAAATCACTGAATCAAGGCAGTAGAAACTGCTTGGACCAAACTGACATCAGGAAATTGTACTTTTCTGAGTCTACAAGCACTGAAAAATTTGGGTTTTAGAAGCTAAGCTACCAAGCAGTCAATATTTTTGGGTGAGAACCTACAGTAAAAGCTTCTATAATAGCTGGAGATATTAAACAGAGGTAGCTATTCCTCTTATACTTTCCATATTATTGGTTAAGTCTCATAGTTAAAATTTTTGAAAAAGCAGCCCAAAACAGACAAGGTACTTATCAATTCTTTAGGGATTTTAGGAAAAATCTGCAGGACTTTTGCTAATTCTAAACAAGGTCTAGTTTAAACAAGGTAAAACCAGATTTTAGGAAAAATCTGGAGGACTTTTGCTAATTCTAAGCAAGGTCTAGTTTAAACAAGGTAAAACCTTTACATGTATTTATAGGGATGTTCTTTTAATTCACACCTGTAGGAAAAGGGATAAAGGACTGTCTATAGATCTATTAAGCCACATAAAACATGCTGCCAGGTTTAGGTTATGAGGATGTCACTGCAAAGCTCCATTGTTTTGGCCCAGGGTGGGTCTGACAAGGGCCCTGGGGCAGTAGGTGGGGCTGGAAGTGCCCCAGGTGGGGCTGGTCAGGGCTGTTAAGGCATCACTATATAACAGTGGGGACAGAGAGGAGGTGTTTTTCAGTAGCAAGTTTCTGGCCTGAGAAAAGCTGCCAACAGTGAGGCAAAAAGTGCATGAAAAAGAAAAACACCAATAGAGGGGAAGACTCTTTGGCCATCAGGATGTTTGTAAGTAACAATTTTTTTCTGCTCTGGTTGAATATGTGTGGAAGATAGAATCCTGGAATGGTTTAGGTTGAAGAGGACCTTAAAGATCACCTCATTCCAATCCCCTGCCTTTGGCAGGGGCACCTTGCATAAGCCCATGTTGCTCCAAGCCCCATCCAACCTAGCCTTGTATACAAGGCATGTGATACACACCACTCTAATGCAGCAAGGACCTTCTTTGTGCTAAGCCCTCCAGGTTTCCTGTCCTGCTTACACACACCTCTCCCAACAATCCTCAGTTATCTCCAAGCTTTAAGACCAGGGATACCTGGATGAGGAGGTAGAAACCTCCTTCTCGCTGCCTCCTGTGCTAATCTGCTTGATGTCTGGAAAAGCATTCCATTTCTACAACTGTCAAACAAGCAATTTTCATGAGTACTAAATTAACTGAAAAAAAATGGAGCTCTAAAGGGTTCATAACACATTGCTGAAGCACTAGGATTCTATCCTAATGCATATATGTTCAGGGAAACTAACCATAGAAATACAAATTTCAACACTTATTGGTTCATTCAGTAAGTGTTGGTTCATGCATAATACAAGAGAGTTCCTAATTGTCTTTGTATCCAATGCTTTGTTTGCAAAATGC